TGTTTGATGGTCTGGGTACAATACACTATGTTTAATGGTCTGGGTATGAATACATTGTATGTTTATTGGTCTGGGTACAATACATTGAATGTTTGATGGTCTGGGTACAATACATTGTATGTTTGATGGATTGGGTACATGTCTCTCCATTCTGTGACGGACGGAATGAATGTGACAACCTATTTACTTATCTATTGGTTAGACTGTCCTGGTACTTTGTGTGACTAATGGTGGAAAGTCATAAAAATTGAATGGACGGTCATAAAAGTTGGTTGGAAATTTGTTTGGACAGTCGTGACAGAAAGTTGAAAAGTTAGATGGACAGTTTTGTTAGTTTGACAATCATAAAAGCTGATTGGAATGTTAAAAGGAGTTGATTGGAAGGTCAAAAACGATTGGAAAGTTGTGCAAGTTTGATAAAAAGTCAAAATATTAGGAAAGTTGGTTGAGCAGACACGAAAGTTAGAAGTCAAAGGTTGATAAAAAGTCGATAAAGTTTGTTGGACAGTCAAAAACGTTGGTTGGATATTGGTGAATGTTTGTTGGAAACTGAAAAACTGTCAAAAATTGGTTGGCAAAGTGAAAAAGTTGGTTACACAATCCTAATATTTGGACAGGCGTAAAAGTTTATTGCACAGACGTGAAGGATGGACAATCCTGTTAATTGGTTGGACTGTCATGAAAGTTAATTGGAAGGTCAAACAAGCAGCCTCTTGGCTGAGATAGCTTTGCCCTTAGCAATACACATTTCAATTAGAGAATTGAAGATATCACGAAATGAAGAAATCTGAGAGGTACACATGTAGTGCCAATATGTATAATATCAAAGTAATCAAGGAAGTTGAAAATATCATTTGTTCCCAAAAATGACAGATTCACGATATCATGAAATGAACGAATCTTAAATGAGGTCTATGCAAGGAACATGTACATCAAGTATCAAAGCAATCAGATTTGTAATTTTCAAGAAGCCGTCAAAAAAGTTGACACAAACGACACCGGACAATCACTCATATGATAAGCTCCGCTCGACAAAGTCGACAGCAGAGCTAAAAATTTGTTTTGACAGACAATTTCTTTGAAAGTTGAAAAAACTGTATAGAAAGTAAAACACGTTTGTTGGAAAGTCATGAAAGTTGTGGAAGTTGGACAGAAATAAAGTTGGTTGAAAATTTGAGAAAGTTGGTTTTGATTAGCGAGTTAGTTGAACAGTTCTGTTAGTTGAACAAGAAAGCTGGCTTGAAGGTTAAAAGTAGTTGATAGGAAGGTTAAAAAAGTTTGTCAACAGTCGTTAGGAACCACCCGAGAAAGATATAAAAATTGATAAATTTAATTGCCGTGCTAACGTTGTACAACAATTGCAAAGACTGGCAAGTTGGTTTTAACGTGACAAAATTTGGTTGGCAAGATGGAAAAGTTGGCTGGAAAGCCAAAATGTTGGTTGTGTAGGTAGTCAAGAAAGTTGGTTCAAAAATAAAAATAAAAATAAATTTGTTGAAAAAAAATTGAAGTTGTACAGGTTTGGTGGACAATCAAAAAAGTTGGTTGGAAAATCATGAAAAGTTCAATGAAAAGTTGGGTGGAAAGTCCACTAAAATGTGAGATTGTGGTCAATAAAATACAAGTACAGACACCAGAATAAAACTAATGGTTGTCATATTTTTTTATTTCTCAAGCTTAAATATCACATACTATATTTAATATACTATATCACGATTAAAAAGCACAATAATCATTACAACTACAATACATACAGGTCTACACATTGGTCCAATTAACCGTCACAGTGCCGCAAATTGGGCCAGCATTTCACCCCCATGCAATCAGATGGGCAGGGGTGCTGATGAAGAATCTTATTATAAAAGCAAATCTGGTGTGTTTTTAAAAATTGTTTTAAAGATAGTATAAAAAGTTCTTGTTAAGCAACACAAACCACCAGTCAAATAATTGTACTCATTGATAGACCGTTTAAAGCGTAGCAGTCTTTTGCTCATATTTTGTGTAAATAATCAATGTATTTATATGTGTTTTTGTTTTAGACGTCACATGATGACTGACACTTCAAGTGATCATAAAAGACATGTTTTATCACACACGACTTTTTACATGATGGCTGCCCTAACGACCAAATTGTTGCACATAAATAAGACCTTCATCAAATGCCAGCATAAGTGACAATCCTCAATGTTCAAAAAATTATACACACAGTTATTCTAGCATAAATTAGATATAAATATAAGAACCCATATACATAGAAAGCTATGCAGTTGTCCCGTTATCAGTAATGTCGGCCATCTTGGATTCTACAAAAAAGGCATATGCTCACTTCACAGTGATTTACATACGGCATAATCTGGTTAATAATTTAGAGAGGAAGCAAAATTTCCATTTTAATGTAATGAATTTGTTGATAAATAATGTTAGATGTTGAGACTTGCACAAACATTTCAATCAATCATAATTTGTCACTTAGAAATTTCGAGGTAATGGTCTAGTTTCCGTATTTGCACTATTGTGCTCTTATGTAAATAACAAATGTCTCAAAAGTTGTATGATAGGTCTACATGTGCTTCTAATAGAGCTAATACGGTAACATATAGAAGTTCAACAATAATAATAAAATTATGATTGTCTATCAAAGGCCGCAAATCAAATTTATCTGCTTACCGTATTTGCTCTATTTGAAGTACATTTCCAGTACAAGTACACATAAACCAAAATTATACTACATCATTAAAATACGACTTATTCTGACAAAATATTGTTCTAACAGAGGAACATATGCTACTGATAGAGCAAATACAGTATACATTTCATCGTAGACAAAAACAGAAAAAGGAATGTGATGTCAGTTTATATTTCCGAAAAATTTGATGTAATGACGACAGTGACGAAACTGACCAAATTGTATGTTGTCATAGCCAAAGCCAATGAGGCCAGTACCGGTTAAAGATTTTTAGCTTGTATAGAATTGTATATTTTTAATATAATGCAGAGATCTCTTAAAGTTTGCCAAATATTATTCATTCCCGATATATTCTGACTGCATCAGTGTTGCGTTTTGAAGTCAATGCAAAGTTACTTACAAGACTGTGCCTGATTGGCTGCTAAATATCAACATCCAACAGTTAGACCAATCAGAGAACAGCTTGTTTGTTAACAGGTTTTGTCATGACTCGATAAAATGAGAAATTACCATGGTGAAAAAAATACAGATTTTTTTTTTTTGAAGAGCACCAGGAGAGGAACAAGCTGTCTCAATTCAGGTTATGTAAAAATCACTGTAACCAATTATTCAGTCAATCTTGAAAAACTCTATATACAATCGCTGCAACATGCATAATTGAGTCGAGATTAATAGTAAGAGTTCAATTCTATGTCACAGGTCATTCAATTCACAGGATGACACACTTCCACTCAAGTCATTCAGGTTCATTATTTAATTTAACAATGTACTAAACAATCATGTTTGTTTCATAATTGCGAAAAAAGTTGATCTGAAAGTAGTTTGTCATGGTGTTCATTCCATAATTGCGTTGATTACATTCTTGGATGAAATAACTAATAATTATGCAAATTTATTCATACCATCATTTTGCAGGTCAAATATGTTGGCCGCAGATGACAAAAACTCCACTGCTTATCTGTATAAATAACCCCAGCATGCAAATCAATACATACATACAAACACACAAAGCAAGGGGAAAAAATGCACAGCACAGTTGCTCCTACGTAATTTTCTTAAAAAATTGCATTTGAACTTATTTAGTACTGATACAATCGGTTGCCAAGACAACCACAACCTACCCTATTACTATACTGCCAAACAGTAGGTGACAATTGCAACAGGTAATATAAATCCCCACCCCCAAATAATTTTGCTAAACCTATAATCTGACTGGTTTTTAATGTAGACCTAGTGAAAAATAATCGCGTGGTAGAAAAAATTTAACTGATGAACCAAGCTCCCATCAGTTTGCAGTAATACTCACATAAACTAGAAACAACTTTAGGTTACTGTACCTGCAATTATTTTATCAATTTTTTTTTTACTGAAAAAATAAAAAGCAACTGCAATTACAGCAACTTAAAGATTCTGGTCGAGTGACTGGCTAATGTACAAAGGTATCAAAAGATAGATCAGGTGAGGTGTATGTACAGATCAACAACATGAACCTGATTTGCCTTCATTCTCCTCAATCGCGCCAGAACCATCTAATCGGAGTGCGTCTTTATCTTGGTGCTGGTCTTCATGGTTCATAGACTTATCATTTGCCAATATCTGCAAACAAACAAACAAACAATTAACAATGACAGATGTATGCTATGATCTCCCCTACAAGTATACTGATAAATGAATCAAACAATTTCACTCATATATCATTTCTACTATTTTCTTGAACTTAGTGAACATTTAATTTCCTGTTTGCTAATATTTCCAGGCAAGATTATCTAAAATGAATGAGGCACATTTAAAATTGATGCGTTAGACCATGCCTACAAGTATTGAAAGAAAGACCTTCATGTAATGTCTGTCAAAACACCATCACTTACTGCAGTTACTAGAAACCTTGCTGCCTCGTCAATGTTGATGTTTTCTTTGGCTGACGTCTCAAACCATCCAATGAAACCCTTTTCTTTACAATAATCATCCATCTGTGACGCGTTATTCACTAAACCTTCTTTAGCCTGATCACACTGTAATGCAAGAAGAAGAAATACATTCTCTAACCATACTTTCAATACCATTCTGGGTTTTACAGTCTCAGAAGTATTAGGGCAGCCAATTTGCAGTGAATTGGCTAACTGCTTGGGTTTTGAATCTCGCTGGCGCTACCTTGTGGTCACGCCCACTCTGGGCGAATCTATATTACATTAGGAGACATACAATGATTTTGTTTAGGGAAATGTACATCATCTATGTGATTTTTTTCAAATTAGTTATTAAAATAAATATACTAAGATTGAAAGTAAATGTGGTTGCCCGACTGTATTTTAATACAATGTAATATCCTCCACCTTTTGGAAGTGTGCTGCAATTTGGTAAATGTCAACTACATTTACATTATCAGGACTTGTATAATACACTGAATCACATTTGAAATGGGGAATCCCAGACATATGCCAGTCTATGTAAAAGCAGTTTATGTCCCCTACTGCAATATAGACTTGTACAGACTGGGCATGGCCACAAGTTGGTGCCAGTGAAATTCAAAAGGCAAGTTCAGTCAAAACCTAAGTTAGCTAGCGAGTTTGCAAATTGGCTACCCAAATACTTCTGAGACTTGCTTTAAAGGCAGGGAGTGTATGTGTTTAATACGGTTACAGTGCACACAGTTGTGAGGTAAGAAGAAATACATTGTTAATTTACAAAGACTACATCATTTGAATGAGTATCTATTTTTAGCTGCCTTGATAGAGACTATAGCAATCACAAATCCCTGCCCAACCCAAATATACCCCCAACCCCTTGACGAATTCCATAAAGATGGTACACTAATTGCCACACATACAGAGACACACTTGAAATGAAATGAAATAAGAACAAATTTAGAAATACTGACATGCAGCAATGACAAGTCTATCACAGTAACAGTCATAAGCACTGTACATCACATTACAGAACTGTTTATCCTTAACTAACTTGGTAATCTTTCCTTTATTTCAATGTCCTTACCATTCATTGATTGGTTGGTTACCCTTATCCAATCTTATTTTTTCTTACTGCCCTTTGATTTGCTCTCATATTTCTGGCCCTTGTCCATTCATTGTGCCTTGTTCCACTTTCATTTATTTTCTGCACTGACAAAGAGTCTTCAACATGTTTGGTTTTTTTTCATTTACTTTGCCAGTTAAATTGTTTTCCCATTGTATCAATTATATTTATTACCACACAGGATCATATGTGCGTTTCATAACAAATAACCACACATAGAAAGACTTACCTTATTAGCCAATAAAACTACAGGAATATTTTGTCCATTCGGTAATTGCACCTTACTATCTAAATCATTTTTCCATTTTTGTACTGCTTCAAACGTTGATGCTCGTGTTACATCAAAGACAATAAAAGCACCAACAGCTTCTTTGTAATAAACCCTCGTCATATTGCCGAATCTCTCTTGACCTAGGAGGGATAAGAGAAAGAATAATATTAATTAAGAGTTGTTTCTCATTCAAACTCCGGAAACCTACATCGTACAAAATTGGTTCGTGCTTTAGTCTACAACGATTCAGTGTAACTTTGAAAACTGAATTAAGGTGTCATACTATTTATGGCCAATTTTCTCAAAAATCATGAGTGCCAATGTTCATTGGTTATGTAAAATTACAGAGCTATTTTCCAGAGCACCATGAAATAGCATTCCTTTGTGGGTTAAAAAAGACATACTTTGAGAAGCTTGTCCAAATATTTTTCAAAAAATCACTATTTTTAGAACAATTCCATAGAACACAATTGTATTTTCTGACACTTTTTAACCAAAAAATAATTCAGGACGACAAATATCCTATCATTCACATGATTTTTTCAGCCTATGTCACCAGTCTATAATTTGAGATATGGCATAAGAATTCTGCAAAAGTATTACGAGACAAAATATTTAAAATCTTTTTCTCTGCATTTGAAGCTGTGTCATCATTTACACCGTAAACTGCTGATGGGAATTTTGGTAATTTGATAATTTTATGGTATCCATGAAAATGAAATTTCACAATAGTCACTGACACTGTTGTAGGACTCCAAAGAATTTGCGAAAATTTGTTTGCAGTATTTTATTGGAAGCCTTTTATATATATAGTATATTCTATACTGTGAGTTGTTGACTCAGGAATACACAAAACATCAAAGAAACCAGAGAGCTTTCAAGTTTATTCTGCTATTTTCAGTTACCCCAACAGCACTACTTTTTGCATATCAATACACTCTGGTGATCTGATGACATAACATTACAAAGTATGTATTCTGATGCAAAAACGTCACAGTATCATACACCAAATATAGTAGATATGGTATATACAACATAACACATGCACAGCCATAATTTGCATATGTTCATGTGAATTACACAAGCTACAAACTTACCTGCAATGTCCCATAACTGTAATCGTATCAGTGTATCCGCATCCCAATTTATCACCTTCAAAGCAAAGTCAACACCAATCTACTCAAAGTTAAGGAGAATACAAACATTCTAACTACTATACATATTTTATTAATCCTCGGGGCGGAGCTACGTCACAAGACGTTCCACCTGGCTAAGACGCGCACCACTGTACCATGTATTTCTATGGGCCCTGCACCAGCTGGTGTGGAACGCCGGTCGAGGAGCCAGAGAAAATAGTTAAATTCGAGAAAACAGCACAAAATCAAATTTGACGTAATCCTGGACAATCTAATTTATATATGTTGGACATGCAGGGACAATCTTATTACACTGTTCAGGGAAGCCTCACAAGTGCAACATCATAACTCAATCGCCCATGTCCTAGCTCCCCCAATCACTCGCGTCCTAGCTCCCCCAATCACTCGCGTCCTAGCTCCCCCAATCACTCGCGTCCTAGCTCCCCCAATCACTCGCGTCCTAGCTCCCCCAATCACTCGCGCTCGAGCTCCCCCAATCACTCGAGCTCCCCCAATCACTCGCGCTCCTTCAATCACTCGCGCTCCTTCAATCACTCGCGCTCCTTCAATCACTCGCGCTCCTTCAATCACTCGCGCTCCTTCAATCACTCGCGCTCCAGCTCCTTCAATCACTCGCGCTCCAGCTCCTTCAATCACTCGCGCTCCAGCTCCTTCAATCACTCGCGCTCCAGCTCCTTCAATCACTCGCGCTCCAGCTCCTTCAATCACTCGCGCTCCAGCTCCTTCAATCACTCGCGTTCCAGCTCCTTCAATCACTCGCGTTCCAGCTCCTTCAATCACTCGCGTTCCAGCTCCTTCAGTCATTCGCGTTCTAGCTCCTTCAGTCACTCGTGTTCTAGCTTCCCAAGTCACTCGTGTTCTAGCTTCCCAAGTCACTCGTGTTCTAGCTCCCCAAGTCACTCGTGTTCTAGCTTCCCAAGTCACTCGTGTTCTAGCTTCCCAAGTCACTCGTGTTCTAGCTCCCTCAATCACTCGTGTTCTAGCTCCCTCAATCACTCGTGTTCTAGCTCCCTCAATCACTCGTGTTCTAGCTCCCTCAATCACTCGTGCTCTAGCTCCCTCAATCACTCGTGCTCTAGCTCCCTCAATCACTCGTGCTCTAGCTCCCCAAATCACTCGTGTTCTAGCTTCCCAAATCACTCGTGTTCTAGCTTCCCAAATCACTCGTGTTTTAGCTTCCCAAATCACTCGTGTTTTAGCTTCCCAAATCACTCGTGTTTTAGCTTCCCAAATCACTCGTGTTTTAGCTTCCCAAATCACTTGTGTTCTAGCTTCCCAAATCACTCGTGTTCTAGCTTCCCAAATCACTCGTGTTCTAGCTTCCCAAATCACTCGTGTTGTAGCTCCTTCAATCACTCGTGTTGTAGCTCCTTCAATCACTCATGTTTTAGCTCCCTCAATCACTTGTGTTTTAGCTCCTTCAATCACTCATGTTCTAGCTTCCCATATCACTTGTTTTCTAACTCCCTCAATCCCTCGTGTTCTAGCTTCCCATATCACTTGTTTTCTAACTCCCTCAATCCCTCGTGTTCTAGCTCCTCAATCCCTCGTGTTCTAGCTCCCCAAAACACTCGTGTTCTAGCTCCCTCAATCACACGTGTCCTAGCTCCTCAATCACACGTGTCCTAGCTCCCCAAATCACTCTTATTCTAACTCCCTCAATCCCTCATGTTCTAGCTTTCTCAATCCATCATGTACTAACCCCCCCCCCAAAAAAAACCACCACCACCAGGACCATTTAATATGCCCTCACAATTCTGCACTTCAAGCTCTGTAATTTCTGTATTGTGCTATGACAAGTATAAAAGGATACGGTTGCTCTGTAATGTTGTGAAAAGAATTGATGTACATATCTCTTGATGACACTTGTTTTACCAGTTCCCAGATCACCAATTACCAGTACTTTATATAAATGTTCTCTCTTTTCACCTGATGAAGACTACAAACAAAACATACCGGTTAATTAATGTGGTAATGAGTTCATCCTTTTCACCACCAGTTCCCTCTTTTTACCACAAATTCACAAAATAGTCCTGTTCATAGTCTGCACTTTCCTTCAAAGATTATGACAAAAATAGCCAATTTTTTGAGTAAGAAGTAAAAGTTGACTCAAATTTTGGCTCCAAAATGGGGGTTCATTTCCAAAAATATTCAAGAATGAGAAAAAGTGCAGAAAACTTTTGCTGAGAAAGTCTGGTGGTGAAAAGGTCAATTGATGACAAGATACTATGCATGGTCGAAGGTAGAGTGACCTACATGTATATTTGTACATGTAGTACCATGTCCTCTATTATAAACTTGTGTACTTACATATGTAACACAGGTGTGAATGGTCAAAAATAAGTTATTTTTCCAATTAATGATCCAGTACACAAACTTGTTTGGACTATATGGAGATTTGCATCTATAGTCGTGTATTTCATTTTGTTGGTTCCATGCATGCAACATGGTATCAAAACTAACACTGTTCTAGAACAGTGATATAATAGGGGTAAAGAGATCTATGTCAAACACTGGTATTGATTGCACTATGGAATAACACAGCTTTCCCATTACTGTTGTCTTTTAGGTTATCCATTCCATTCTATCATTCAAATAAATACTTGAATGAAATTAGAAGTTACAACATGTACATCTGATTATTAATTGTTCATGTCTATGAACCCACACTTTCATGCGAGTTTTTCTTATGTATACCATGAAAAAAAAAACTTGAAAGATTCAGCGATTGACAGCAATGCTTGCACACAGTACGAAACGTGTGGTAATTTACATAAATACAAAAGATGTATTGTATACTTAGTCATTTGCTCATGAATAATTCAAAGCATACCACTCAACGTTGAAATGAACTTATAAATCCTGTTGTTTTTTTCATCATAATAGCTCAGTCATTAGCGGCACTACCTGCTGTGGTTGGTGTTGTAGATTAGAGCCCTTTGTTTGGCCAACTTTTTCAATAATTAAGGAAGAAGTCTATCTTCTCGTCAACTCCAGATTTTGCACCTTGACTAAAGCTACAGTCATAGCCGAGGTGGAAGGTCTGATTTACAATAGCAGTTTACAAGTTGTGTACAGTTATCTATAGAAATTACATTCTGCATATGGATACAAGCATGACCGGTTTACAATCTGCACAAGAACTGATGTTTTACAGAAATAAACCAATGGCCAGTCCAATGGGTCACATGACCGAGAGTGCTATAATATCTGTAAATCCCCACTTTCTCATGGTGTTTCTAATACCAAGTTATCACCAAAAAAAAGATAAAATAAACATTCAATATAGGATTGCATTAGCCTCTACTACTCTGTTAACCCAATCATTGCACTGCCTTTATGAATTCTTTGCAATATTCTCATGATGAAATCATTCTATCGGTATTTGGTAATTGTCATTTGTTTCTCAGGAAAGTGCTTAAAACAACTTACTGAATGTCATAGTATTATTAGAATATTACAGGTGAACATGGGTTGTTATATAATTAGTTACAGTTCTACCAATGGATGTCAATGAAAGTAGGACACTTAAAACACATAAAAACAAGTATCTCAATGGTCCGCACATAAAAACACAGCACTAAACATTCTTGAACTCATTCCAAGATTATGATTTAAAGTCCCTAATCTTGTAATCCAGCTGAAACACAATTCATATTACATGTACCTGAGTTGATTTCTCTGAAACCTTTGCTCCATATTTGGTCTAGGGGAAATAGGCTACTACATGTAAAGTATGTATAACTGACTCGCTTGCAAACTAAAAAATAATTAAAGTAATTTCATTACCATTTTTAAATTATTATTTTTTGTAATTTGTAATCAAATTATATGCAGCCTATTTTTGGTGTATATTTTTGTAATTTTTGGTAAAATCTGCATTCGGATTGCCTTGGTAAGTAGGTACCCATCTTCGCCAGCCAAGGACCATTTATTCGGCCGAAACCTCAACATTAACCCTTGGCAGATTTTACCAAGATTTACTGTATGTCGCACGCCCCCAAAAACGATTATAAGATTCACCTCGGCTCATTTGCATCACCCAATTCAAGTAAAATTAAATTGGTGGAATATACAAATGAACGTCAAAAAAACACTTAGTGCTATATCTGAGGGAAATGATGTGTTTGTTGCAATCACAATCCCTCTAGGTACTATGTTGCAATGAAGACCAGATTGAGCAAGTCAATATGTTTTGTCAGTTTACTAAAAAAAAGGTTTGCACAAATATTTCATCGTCTTCATTCACTTGCCCACAAACAATTTTCAACGTTGAAATAAGAAATTTTGGAAACGTGTCAGCGAATATAGACCTTCTGTTCTTGACTCCGGGTGGATCAGCAAAAAAGCCTACACGTCGCTATTGTTTTGATCTGAGATGAGCTTTCCGTTCTTCAGATTTATGATACAGCAACGTTGATTGGTGGCACCAGCTCCTTGGCACGCTCAATCAAATGACTCAATTTAACTGCAGTGAAATGCAGCTTTTCCTAACACGATCACGCACGGGTTCGTGGGCCAGTTATGAATAACCGGCTTTAGCAAAACCGTACGATTCGGACAATGGTAGTTACCTTGAAGTTGGGATTTCAGAAAGAAGCGTAATCTTTATTATATAAATTGTTATTACTGATAAGAAGAAAATCCCTCATCATTTCCCTCAAACCTAAATATTGTAAAATGCTTTATTTAGCTGGAATTAATTTATGCTAAAATATAGGGAAAAAAAGATGAAAAAAGTCACTGAATAGTTTCTTTAGCGAAAATCAATTCCTAGCGAAAATAACGTAATTTAGAGTAGTACTCCTATACAGTAAACGCCACAAGGGTTGGACATTTGTTTTGTATTTTTATATTCAGGGATAATTGGTTTATAGATCTTTGATACAAGCTTTGAGGTGAAAGAAGTTAAAAAAAAAGACTTTAAAGACATGATACATTTGTACATGTATTACAGCATGTATTATTAAATTTTCTATACTTGAAGTCAAATACCCAATCAGCAAAGACATCTATCAAAATTGTAAATTCACAATCATCAGACATCTTCCAAGTCTTGCGACAGACAATTATTTATAAATCTGAAGCTGGTTACCAAGTAGGCGGGGATGATAAACGGCATCAAACAAAATTACTAAAAAATACACCTTACCGGTTCTCCATTCATTATTACAGTTGTGCTTTAGATTAATTAAAACACTTCACTGACTTTTGGCAACAACAATACTGTCTGTGTTGGGTCAGAGTCCACAACGTGATAATTATTAAGATTAGATGTAGATACTGTAGAATACTTTATTTTCGCTTGGAATTTATTTTCGCTATTTTCGCTGAAGGGATGATTCCGTGAAAATAAAATCCAGCGAATATACTTTTTTTCCTATATTTCATATTAAACTCATCAAAAATCAGTGAAAATAAATTCCAAGCAAAACGCCCAAAAAGCCTTTTCAGCGAAAATTAATTCCAGTGAAAATAAAGTATTCCACAGTATACAGATTTACAAATGCGCCCTCAACTTCATAACAAGGCTTGGCCACTATGCTTACATCTTTATCTGTATGAAGTACAGCTGCTGTGTTCTCCCTAGGATACAAACAGTGATGCCACGACTACGCTCAAAATCATTAACCTCATGCTTGATTTCCACAGGTATTGTTCTTTTAGTTAGACTCGTTTTTTTAGGCACAATTAATTAACTAACAGAAGTTAGAGAGCAGCTATGTTTATTTATGTCAGTTTATGTACTTGTAAGCAGACTGTATGCAAAATGCATCACCACTATGACAGATGTTTGTTTTGAAAAACAAATTAAAGAAATGCTAATTCCAATGAAAATAAAACTTTTGATAAAAGTATTACCAATGGAAACATCAATGAAATCAAAAAATAATTGCAGGCTTGAGACCAAGAAAAGCTCTTTAGAGAGTTCTAACTTGCTTTCCATCAGTTTATTATATGATTATCCAACTCTGTGCAGATCAAAAACAATGGCTGTGGTATGTATTAACACTGGTATACGTTTTGCACCTTTAATAGTACATGCATTGCATTAATCTCAAGGTTCCTTGAGCATAACTATTCCCAAATACATGTAGTACAGCAATATACCAAATGTAGTACACCTATTATACCTAATACCAGTTATGAAAAAAAAACACTTCTGTCTTACTGAGTATATAACTGATTTCTGGTTCTTATAATCCGCAAATATGTCCATCAAATGTTTTATTCAAATTAGCCAAATTTTCATGCACCATCTATGTGTAATTCTTATCTGTATCCTGTTTACTAATAGCAACCCTAGTAGAGAGTTCTGACAGTATTAACAACAAAAATTAAAAAGTACAAATGTGATTTCATCAAAAAGCACATTGAATTGTGGGAAAATCGATGTTTATCAACACAAATATTGCACATGTATGGCACAACGATCACAGCTGTATACATCTTGAGCTTACGTCTACGCTTAAAATATAGCATTTTTTATCAAAAATGACAGAAAGATTTATCAAAATTAGAAAATGAAAGTTCTCACCACAAAATGAAAAAAATCTGTCAGAGGATTTGTCAGAAATCGATTTTTTTTACATATCAAAGCAATTAATCAATTGGTCTAGCCATTTGAAAGGAAAAGTTGAACACACTTGTTTTTTGGCCAAAAATGACAAAATTTTTTAATTAAAATTAGTGTATTGAAGGCATATCACAAAATGAACAAGTCATTGTCAATGACACGTCCCCGTTCCGTTCATATTTGAGTGACATATACATTCAAAGCAGATCATGACCGAAATGCACCTGCATATGTACAACACATTGTGCTAAATCTGAACAAAATCCATCCATGCATGACTGAGATCCGGTTCTGGAATTGTAAAAATACGTGATTTTGATGCATTTTCGGCTTTAAAATGGCCATCATTCCGCTATTGTTAA